TAGACACATCTCGCGATCGACTGGGAATCTCCCCGCGATCGACTGGTTGGGCACCCCTGGGCTAGACCATAGGTCCGTTGTGGTGGCAAAGTAGTCAGCTGAAGCCACATCTCTCTCAACTTCCCCACGGCATTTGTCATATAGCGCAGGCTGCGCAGACCTGCTGAAATAATACCGAGACGGCATCGCGTAACGCTTGTCCAACGTGTTGATAAGTTGCTTAAAGCCCTGGTTGCTAACAGTGCTAACTGGGCACATATCTTTAGCGATGTGAAATGTAATGGCACAGGTAATATCTCTGTCTCTGCGAGCTCGTCGCGTAGGCCGTTGCTCTGTGCAATGCGTCCTGAATCGATGACTGTGATGATGTGGTGGATGAAGTCGAGCGGGCATCTGCTTTTTAGTCTGCTTTTTGTTGTATTATTGCCCGGTCGTATTGCACTTTGTGGTTGTATCTCAGATGATTAAAGAGATTGGTTGTGTTGGCGTGTGGTGCCAACACAACCTGGTAACAAATCCTGTACTGTACTTTGTTTTGCTCCACGTCGGACTCCTGAAAGCCAAAGTACTTCCAAATAGTGGAAATAGTTTTACCCTTCTTTTTAACGAGTTGCTGCTCTTGTTCTGACATCTTCACTCGCGCTGATCACTCACAACACGTGTCACTCCCACGTGGCTGAGTGGGCTTTTAGGGAGGGGCGAAAGTGCACCCAGCTAAATAATCGTATTTTGTCAATTATGCTGTTTTCATAATCGTCGCAAGCCATAATCGTAATCGCGATTAAAATACGATTAATATACGATTAATTGCACAGCCCTAGTTTTATTATTGCATTCCCATGCCTCGCTAGTTTGCACAAACAATGCAAATGCATCAAGAACTGCAGTTGTGTCATGGTACTACTACATAGTGAAGCTTTTTTATTTTCATTTGTGGATGAAAAATGTTAAACATGTTTGGCTGCTGGTTTTTAGTTCCATGTAAATATATTTACTTTGAAGTGCTCAATGTGAGATAAGGTTTTCCTGTGTCTACGAGTCCTTGCTCTTTGTGGTTTGAAAGGAAACCAAAGTTAAACCAGAGCCCCCCCACTAAGATTATTTCAACATTGCCACATAAAAACAAGCCCCTCCTTTCCAATACAGATGTAAACAGTATATGTCTGCCTATATCTCTTTACATTATAGTACAAAATCAAATTGCTTGGTGTGTGTGTGTAAATCATGTATCTTTATTCCATGCAATACTAAAAGCCAATACCTAGATTATGTTTTAGAGGACGAAGTTAGCAAAGAGGACACAGATTTGAACCTAGTTGTGAGAAGTGTATATGTTCTCATGATAAAACGACACAATCTGGCACATGTCACATTTACCTTGCCAAGCTGCCATCCGAAAAACTTGCTTTTGAAATGTGGGATAGTGATGTGTTGAAAAGACTCTGAGCCTCGTCAAGTTACTTTGGTTTGTAGCATAGCATAAATATGTGGCATTCCATTGGCAAATAATTAAATACAAACATCCAAAAGTCGATAGTATGCACTTTTATAGAAACTTCCCCTAAATGTTAGGACTAAGGCTTTTTCAGTAGTTACAGCACACATTCACTTACTTATCATAGTTTCACTTTGCTCACATAATTGACAGCAGTATTGTTAGTGTTGGCTAGCTTCTTCCAAATAAATAACAACGGCATTGCAAAAATATAAAGAAAGCCAGAGCTTACACGCATCATAATTGCAACAAAAAGCTCAATGAATCTTCCAGTTACAGAACTGTTAGCTCTGTTACTTTGCCAAACAGAACTGTGCTGCCCAATTGCAGCTTACAGCTAACGGTACTGGCTCTCCTATTGCTGATTTCAACATGGATTTGTTTTTCAAAATTCACCAATAACACGAGATAAAAAGACTGCAAAGTGTCAATACTGAGTTTACTGTTCCTCTCGGATTTTACCATGGTAGCTCTTGGTTCAATTTGTCACTTGCTGAGCGATAGTTATCATAGAATGCCGTCCAAAAAGATCTCACAGCAAAGATCTCTGTTTTTCCCAAACCCATTTGCTTTTGTCCCTATGCAAGTCGAGACTCGTGATCCATAGTATTATGGTACCTGCAGGACTGTAGAAAAACAAATACCGTTACAATACAGAATAATGGCATCAACTTTGTATCAAAGCATTGGTTCTCTTGGACATCTCCAATTGGTTGTATAGAAATTAATGGTGGGACAGCAAAACATTCACATGAAGTACAGTAAACCAGAAGGGATCAATGTTTCAAGACGGTTCCAGTGGGTTGCCAATATCGCTACAGACCCCTGACACACTGAGGACAGTCCATCCTGTTTGAAAGTCATGCCGAGAACCTCTTCCCTCCCGTAAACAGAAATACAATTATATTATGGAATGCTTGAGTTAATTAGCAGACTTTGCGGTTTCAGATGTTTGTTTGTTTTCCACCATTTAGGTATTTGCTAGACTTCACTTTTTGCTGCTAACTCCTTTTTCTTCTCTCTGTTTTGGCCTTTGATAATATGGCTGGCTGTAAATCATGTTTAGAGGAGCGGGTTTGTGTGTTGTTGTTGATAGAGTGCGGGAGGTAGGGTTAAGAGGGATCAACGGAAAAGGACATGCCAAGAAGAAGATAAACACTGCAGGTCTTCCTGTGCAACAGAGCTGTCATTTGGCCTGGTGACATGTAGTAAACTGCGGATCATTAAGTGAAAAAACCTCAGTGTGAGATGAGGATGAGACCGTGCTCATGTATAATTGGGAGTGAGGCAGCAGGCAAGCATCTGTATGTTTCTGTGCAGCAGAGGGGGGAGGGGCAGGCAGCAGTGCAGTGCTCTACTCAGCTGTTGAGCAAGCTGGTCTTTCTCTCCATGTCTCCTCCCGTTTCGCTCTCTCCTGTGGGCTTGCTCTGTCTGAGCGCCGCTGGCAGTCGGGAACCTCCGCGAAGCAGAGCAGGCTGCTGCTTTGGCCACCATGGAGGAAAGGCAGACCGATGCATGCTGAGGGCCATCGGAATAAATGACTTCTCAAGGCAATACAAGAAATCTAACTGTCGTTTTCAAGGCTAATTAAAAAATACGATTTCTAGCAGATTTCTGTAGAAAATACGAGTTATTTTACTTTGTATTCAATTCAGCTTGAGATTGACTTTCAAGCTCTTCTTTTAAACAGCAGTCCATCATTTGTTGCTTATGGTATGAAGTCAAGGTACAAAATCATTCGCACTGAGGCATAATGGGGCAGACATTTGGTTGGATCATGGTTTACAACCTGCTTCAAAGCTGACCCGTTACGAGAACCAAACTGCCGTGCTGACCAACTTTATTCATGACAGTACAGTATCTTTGTGGTATGAGCAGATCTGATGAGTTTTGAAATTTGAGGGTGGCGTCATATGTGCTCCGTCATAAAATGTCATTCACAACTCTGACTGCCGCTCTGAAACTTTTTGCCATGTGGTGTTAGCAACAGGTTATGAAGTTGGCACAACAAGCGGCTTCTCATGTAATTCACACTATGGTGAGCGCACATTAAACACAGCTAAAACAATAAAGGAGAGAGAGTTGTGTATAAGACTAGGACAGGATGTTGGTGTTGCCACATTGTTGGATATGTGAAATGGTAACACAATGGCATCAGCAAATGTGCCGTTCTTTTGGACGAGGAAAAATCTAACTGGAGGTAAATTCCTACCTGATGCTTTCAAGCAGCCTTTAAATGCAAAGGCAGAATAAGATAAGATAAAAGATGTACAGGGGTTATTTGCATTTACATAGAGGTGACATAGAGTTTTGCAATGTTCACTGAAGGGATCGACCGATATGGCTTTTTCAAGGCCAATACCGATTATTAGTAATCAAGGAGACCGATAACCGATATTTGGAACCGATATATATTTGCAGTAAATTCAGAAAATCTTGGTGTCAAATGTAGAATAACACAAACTCCAACACAACTTCTTTGAAATGCATTTAAGCATATATTATGTTTAATGAACTTTTAAACATCTTACAACTGGTTTCCTCTCTGTGCCCTTTTCTTTAGTGCAGCCATCTGCAATGAGTTGCAAGAAGTGGGGCTGCAGGCTGACATGCTTAACTAACAATAATGCTTAATTTATTATATCAAAACAATGCCTGTCTATCTAGCATAAAATCCCAATAAGCTGCGAGCAACTGCAAAACACTAGTGCTAGCTAATGTTTTGCAAACTATTAAAAGTGAGGCTATTACAGTAGACCTAACGTCTAATATTTTGATAAACATTTGCTAGATACATGTTAGCTATAATGAGCTTCACATATCAACCTGAAAAACTGCGAGGCTCCACTCGCAGCCCCCTCCCCGCACCACAGTTACTCCGCTGCGAGACGCTGCACGCACCCCCAACTCTGACTGACTTCCCGCGTCCCTGTGTAACTGGGAAACTGATAGAATTGGATCATAAGATCGTGGTGTTTTTGCAACTTCAGCATAGGGGATTGGGATGTTTATTGAACTTCGGTTTAACACATGTATGGCTCTGCCGCTCAGCGCTGCTGCTTGCTTCAGTCTGTGTCTGCGTTCTTTCGCACCGGCCTGTAATCTGAGAAGGTCCCGCCTCTCTGGCTGGCTCCCGCCCGGAAAATCTTCAGTGTTGATTGACACTTCAGTAATAGCCTATCAGATAGCGCTGTGGGCGGGACACAGAGTGGTGACTGCAGCCAGAGAAACGGCCGCATCAGAGCCAAAGTTTTATCGGCAATTTGATATAAAAAAAAGGCCGATACCAATAATCGGTCAGATGCGGAATATCGGCCCCAATAATCGGCCAGGCCCCTATCGTCGACCCCTAGTTCACTGTATGTTTACTTTTGACTGATGTGTACTGGACCATATGCCTTGGTACAAAGACTCTTCTCTCATGCAAAAGATTGATCTAATGTGATGTTATGCTACAATATGTGCAACATTTCTGACCTCCCTCTGTCCTGATTGTCTATTATAGATGGGTATGTCAGGAGCTCCATTTGGCCAGCAGTATGGTCAGTCTGGGGTGCAGCAGATGGGGGCAGTCGGGGTCAATGCCCAACAACTCCAGAACAAGACGGCGCTTTCCAACAACCTGCCACAATTCCCTGCTGACTTGAAGGGAGCTGGGAGTTTGCCAAACCTGGTAAGTGTCTCTTCAATGTTATTTTATTTTGTGATTTATTAAGGGTAAATCATAGAAACAGAATATGATTTGAACCAACATTTAACTGTTCTGCGGTCATTTAACTAGTTAAAAAGTATGTCTATTGTTTTTATTTGTCATGATGACAAGAAAAGTCAGCGGGCCATAAAGTGTGGTCGCAGCTTGCCGGGGAAAGAGTGGACCAAGCTCAGCTAGTTAGCTTGTTCTTATTCAGAGCGTTGGGGGAGGGGCTGTTATCGTCAGACCCAGCTAGCTACTAGCATGCCGTTGGGCTCATTTTAGTGTATAAAGTAGGAAGCGATTGCAAAGCTAGCTAGGTCACTAACTGTGTACGTTTAGCTTGTTTTCTCATTTTGCCATGATTTAACGCTAATTGTTCTTATTTTTATGAACCTGTGCTTGCCTCCATATTGAATGTTAGACTACTCTTTTTATATTTGCCTTTTATCTGCAGTGTTTTGTTGTATATTCCCACGCTGTTGGACAAATAAAGGATTTATAATTTCAGACTTAAAGTGGTTACGAAAAATAAAGCCTGACAAAGTTGTCACTATTCTTGCCATGGCAATGTGCTTGACTAAGCTGTGAAAAGTGTGTGAGAATAAGTTGCATGTCGTTCATTGTTTCTGGCTCTTTATGATTAGTAACATTATTATACCACTGCTCGTTTAGTCCACTGCAAAAAGGTGTGTCTTGTGGCAATTAGTGATTATTCGAATATTCGTTACAGTCTCTATAATCGAATATTATTTTTAAAAATCGATTTTATTTATATATATTTTTGTTATTATTTGTTTGTTTTTTCTGGCTTAGTTTCAACCAAAATATAGACTAATGCTAATAATAGTAATAGTATTAATAATTGTAAATGGCCATTGGTCACACCACCAGTTTGTTTTACTGTAAACTTGGAGGAAGCCTGCGTGCAGACTGCTGCTGCAGCACACTATACAACGACCCCGCCCCCACCCCCCCCCTCTCCCTCACAAGTGCGACTAAAGATGAACAAAGCGGCAGGTAAAAAGAGTTCCTCCTCGTGGAACTACTTCGAACTTACAAGTCCAAAGGAAGTTAAATGCAAGCTCTGCGAAAAGACGTTGGTCTATCACAGCTCAACCTAGGGCTGCACGATTTTGGGAAAAAATCTTATTGCGATTTTTCTGACAAATATTGCGATTGCGATTCGAATTGCGATATTTATTTTTAAGCGACCCAACGGAAGTTTATTGTAAAATGCGGCCATAACTCCAGCTAGGAAGGTCGTATCAACGTACTCCCGTCTCTAGCACCCCCGCAGCCCGAGCTACGAGTGAAAGAACTAAACTTACACGAAACTTCCGTTGGGATTCTTTAAAGTCAAGCTTCAGTTTAAGATTCACCCTGTAATAGATGTAGAACATGTGATGGAGCATTACTAACCTGACTCAGATGGTTTGTTTCACCAAACCATCTAAAGCTCCATTGGAAGCCATTTGGAAAGGGCAGGCACTTTCAAAATACTTGGCAGGTGATTGGATCAATCTGTCCATCACCTTCTATCATGGGCCACTTCTGATTGATTAACAATGGCTGGTACATGTGGAGCACAGCACTTCTGATTGGTGTGGATGACTGACACACAAGAAGAAGAAGAAGAAAAAAAATTGTAAAAAAAAAAGAAAGAAAGTAAAAAAAGATCGCAGGCTTTGCGATTTGATAATCGCATCATTTCAAATCGCGATTTCGATTTAAAATCGATTAATCGTTCAGCCCTAGCTCAACCTCAACAATGCGTTCGCATTTGAGTGCGAAGCACGCCAAAGAGGTTACAGAGAAAGACGCAGCACATCCGGCCATTACCAACTTCACTTCAAGGCGGTCGGTCGAATAATCGATTATTATTCGCCAGGGCTGCCGAATAATCGATTTTGATCATGGTCAGTTTCTGGCAACCCTAGTGGCAATTCAGTTTAGTTAATACGGTAATTAGCCTGCTACGAGAATTACAATAGCAACAGTACACATCAAATATAAAAGCTAAACCTGCTGAGGGGGATTCGAAGTGTTAATATATTACTGCTATACAAAACACACTTCCAACTAAAGATGTTAAATATTTATTAGGAATGGATTTGCTGTTCTTTAGACTGTCAGTGAGTTCAGACACTATCTCTTCTGCAGACATAAGCAAAAAGACTGCAACCATTGTAGCATGTACAGTACATAAGTACAGTATATAAGGAGAGTTGGCATAGACATTTTAAAGAAACCTTGACATGCTGCCATAAAGGAGCCTATGTTTTTTTATCTACAATGTTAAGTATTAGAAAGAAAGCAAACTCATTGGTCACAAAGTAAACAGATACTTCCTTCTAGTTTGGGTTCAGTCTTGATATGGAACATGCTGTTGTAAGAAGCTGAGCAACAATCGAGAAGAAAGTATCGCGGGTCCATTTTAAACATCAGAACGTGTCAAGTGAGCTTTGGCTGAAGTCATAACCAACTTCAGGGTAACCTCCATCACATTTCTCAGCCGGTTTCAAACAATCCACAAGAACTTGACTTGGTTCTTGAGAAGTTGTAGCATCTTTTCACTAACGAATGAACTTTAAACACACTTCACATTTTATAACGTTACTTTCAATAAAATTGAAAGTAACGTAACATTTTCTATTTACATTATTTTTTCAGCATTGACAGCCATGTTAATGTAAGATAATGGAGTCTTGGTTTGTACATATCAACAAATAATTGGATTTATGCCCCGACAATCATATACATTTTCAATTCCTTTAAAAAAAAGAGGCTTGAGTCTGATACAAGCCCCCAGGAAGTGCGCCCCAGTAATCTTTATATCAACTATATCAACTACCCAGTATACACACTTTTATCCAATGTTGTATCCAGTTCACTGCAAACATCCATGGTCTGATATAACCGCCATATTTGTTGGTAATGTACGAGACAACGGCCTTCTGCTAAAATTGTAATATTTCATTGAAAATGTAATAAAGACTTATTTCACCAGGCAAATGTATAAAGGGCGGCCTAATTGCTGAAAGCTGTCTAATGTGATATTGATGGAATATTTACACTGTTAAGTATGGACTCTTACAAGGCACAAATTAACAAGAGCCTGTAGCTGTGAAATTCTGTTGCAGGAACAAAGAATTCACCTAGGCAGGAAATGGCAGCCTCTCAATTTCTGTGCAATATAAAATGTAGGTTTTAATTGTAATCATCCCACATCTATAAGACCCTGCTTTATGACCATAGATTTGATTCGTATCTGGATTTCTTTTTGGTTTTACTTAAAACCTTAAAATCTAAGATGAGTGGAGTCTGACTCCAGATTATGATCTGTGCCTAACCGTTGTTTGTTTGTTTGTTTTGGTTCTCTTTTTCAGTCCCAGATGCAGCAGCAGGTAGCGTCGGTGGGCATGGTTCCCGGGGCCGGTGGGGTGTCAGCGGGACCTACGGCCGACCCGGAGAAGCGCAAACTCATTCAGCAGCAGCTGGTCCTGTTGCTCCACGCACACAAGTGCCAGCGGCGGGAACAGGCCAACGGGGAGGTGAGGGCCTGCACCCTGCCCCACTGCCGCACCATGAAGAACGTCCTCAACCACATGACCCACTGCCAGGCCGGCAAGTCCTGCCAGGGTGAGTGAAAATATGAGTGCAATATGATATATGTTACATTTCTAGCTGACCCCTTTTTCAATGTGTGGATATATTGTGATCTTACTGAAAATTGCCACTAATTAGCATTTATGTGATTTTTATATTTTGTCATTTATTACTGTAAGAAATACCTACATACCTAATGAGACCTATCCTGGTTAAATAAAGGTAAATCAAATTAAAATAAACCTAGTTAGAATTCAAAGCTGCTGTGCTCTCTGATTAAATTAACAAGCAAGCACGAAAGCAGGCATTTGAGTATTGAAAACATTTCAATTCAGAATCGATGCGTCATCTGAACACCAGTGAAACTTCAGAATGAAGAAAGGCTGCTACCAATTGCTGGTCGATTGATCTGCTCACAAGCCTGTTATGTGGGCAGAATGCCAGTCGCTTTTCATACCACAGGGGCACAAGGTGCTGATGACTTGTTTGAGTTTTTAAGTCCCCTAATCTGCCAAAAGTGCCTGTCGCCTTCAGCTCTTTGCATAGCCACTCGCCAATGTTGTCCTTAGCAAAATTGTTTATTGATCTATAGGTGGCTGACGGCTGGTTGAGGACGTTTTGGGGAAATTTGCATCCGTTTTATACCAAAAAACAACCAAATTCAGGGTTCGTACGGGTGCTTGAAATCCTTGAAAATGCTTGAAATTTGACGTGGTGTTTTCAAGGTTGGGAAAGTGCTTGAATTTTGGGAATGGTGCTTGAAATTGAGATCAAGTGCTTGAAAATGTAAATGCTTTACTTTTACAATAAATGTATGTCTGACTGAATAGTTCGCTTTTTAGATTAAAAGAAAATAATTGCTTCGCTTCTACATAAAACAGCTCCGCTGCGGCCTTCCCGCGCTATGCGCGCGACCTGCAAGTGTTTGTGTTACGTGTGACCTGGGCATTCTGATGAGAGTGATAGATGACAGTGTGCCAGGAGGTTGCAGTTTCAACGAGCGTTGGCTAGCAGAAGACAAATACAAGCCATGGCTAAGACGAGGGTCAAGCCCACGAGTAGCCTCCTGCAAAGTTTGCAAAAATAACGATGCGAGAGTCTGCGCTGACGAGCCACATGAAAGGTACGCCGTAGAAGAGCATTTTAGATTAGGCTAACGTTGCATGTTACGTTTGTTTAAGCTAACGTTAGCGAGCTGGATAGCGAACTCGATTGAGGGATAATAATAATTGCAGGGGACAATCATTTCAGAGGAGCGTACCTATGTTAATATGTGCGTTACAGTCGCCATCGTGTGGTGTTCAGAGGATGAAGCACTCACGGCATTTCGTGTTATAGTCACGAAATATAATCTCTTGATTCGACACAAATACAGCAATGTATTTCTACTGGTAGTATGTTTCGTGCCTAAACCAAATGTGACTTGATCTATCGAAATCAGTCACATTGACCCGAAGACACATTTTCGTTTGTATTACTGATCTGGGGGAAGCTCGCGAGTGTGTTTGTGTATTTTTGCGTCTGCGTGTATTTTTGCGTCTGAATTTGCCGAAACAAGTTTAATATTCTGAAAGCCAATACTTTGTTTATTTGAAAACAGATGAAAAGAAACGGTCTTTTATATCAAATTGAAGTATTATACAAGTAAAACTACATTTTGCTTTAATCCCATGTAATTTTAGAATGAACACAGTCTTCCTTTGAAGATGTATATGTCAGGTGTCTTGAGTAGTCAAAAGTACCTACAAATCATTGTACACATTTGAAAATATTATTTTCCACTTGTTACCATTGTGAGTCTATTTTTATGCAGCTCTGTGATTTTGTGGCTACAATTCAGACTAATACGCTACCAGAGGTGGAATAAGTACTCAGATATTGTACTTGAGTAAAAGTACAAGTACTCAGATCTTGTAGTGAAATTATAAGTACTCAGATCTTGTACTTGAGTAAAAGTAGAAGTACCAGAGTGTAATACTCTGTTACAGTAAAAGTCCTGCATTCAAAATGTTCCTCTAGTAAAAGTAGAAAAGTATTCTCATCAAAATATAGTTAAAGACAGTAAAAGTAGTGATTGTGCAGATTGGTCCATTTCAGAATAATATATACGATATATTTTATAAAGATTGAACATTAAAGTGTTCTCAAAGCTGGTAAAGGTGCAGCTAGTTTGAATGACTTTGTATACTGCAGGGTAGCTTGTGAATTTACTCCAGGTGGAACTAAAGTCTGATTTAACACTTGGTTAGATTTCACATCATTCATCCACATCTGTGAAGTAACTAAAGGTATTAAATACATGTAGTGGAGGAAAAGTACACCATTTACCTCTGACTTATGTTCACTGCCAACCTAAAAGTACCTCAAAAATAGTAATCAATAATGTATTGAAAAGTTATTTGGCTGATTGTTTTATATTGGCTCAGCCAGGTTATATGGGAGGCCCAGTCTACGTACAGATCACTAATTTTGAAATATTAAACTTAGTTTTATTTTCTTTAATTTTTCATCCTCGTGTAGAAGGCTATCACGAAACACACATTTGGTTGTTTATAGCATATCTGATTTAACGTGAGGTAGGGAAATAATCATTTGAGTATGTGTATATAAATATGTAATTTACAACAGCTGTAAGATGCTTGAAAAGCTGGAAAATGCACCTTGAAAAGGCTTGAAAAGTGCTTGAATTTGACTTTGGAAAAGGTGTAAGAACCCTGCAAATTGCGTTGTTGTTGTTAGGTGCCAGAGAAGATATTATGAATACTCTCGATGAAAGATTTATATTCTTGACTTTTAATAAGAGCAGTATGATGATGAAGTGCTTTTTTGATCGCTTAAAGGGGACCTATCATGCAAAATGCCATTTTTTAATGTCTTTTATACATAAATATGTGTCCCCGGTGTGTCAGGGAACTCACGCGGCGTCAGAAAATAAAACCCTCTCTCTTTTCCTCCGTACCCAAATCTCTAAAAACGGGGCTACAACGGAGCTGATCCAGATTTGCGGCCGATATGACATCAAATCGGCGGTGGACCCACAGCACTATCAGAAACGTTGCTATCAGAAACAATGCCGACTGTTTTGGACGTAATATGGTCGGTGTTTACATTAGCATCGCTAACACTCAGAGCTAACCTGTACTGGAGAGAATATGTGTGTGAAGAAGCAGGAAATAAAAAGGAACTCACCTTGTGGTATAACCGGCAAGAGAGAAAGCCTTTGAGCTCCAGACTGTTTCAGAAATAATCCTTGATCTAATAATCCTTGTTTCATCACCGCAGAATCCTAGACAGTATCTGCCAGGTTCCGGCCACATGAGCCGGCATAAGCTCCGTCCCCTCTTGTTTTTATTTCTTTCCGTTAAAAAGAAAAGCTTTATTTATATTATTTTAATTTAGCCTTTATTTATACAAGTGAAAATCTCATTGAGACACAGGGTCACATTCTCACGAGAGACCTGTTTATACCCAGAATCAGCACTTTTGAAACAGGAAGTGAAATAGAGGGATATGAGGCATGGCTAGAATGGGTGATCTGTTTGGTTTTTTGACCAAAACACTTCATAGACATGTTCTTTATATATTTTTTTATATATCTGAGACCTATGCTATTGCCTAAAAATAGCATGATAGGTGACCTTTAAGTTGCATTGTTTTACACAATGTCAAATAGAAAGTATTAAGCTTTTGTGTTGTATTGCCTAAATAGAGCCACTCTTGAGTCACTAGGCCCCAAATGGCCCGGTGACTGACAAGATCAGCAAACTTGAATTTAACCTTTTTTTAAACGGCTGTAATGATGGTTTCACTCCATTTCCTTGAACATGCTGACGACAAGCAGCTTCTCTCTGCCAGCTGTGGTTAGTAAGGGGGTCAGCCAAGGTTGATGAACTTTGAACTCTGATATTTATACTGTTTATACGCTTAAAGCAAATGCAATGACGCTTTTATGGATTTACGATGCATCATTGCCTTTATAAAGCTATTAGCACATTGTACTGTAGCAGTTGATGCTTTTTTAGTGCCCTGTATTTTAAGTTGACATGGTGCCTGGTAGGGCTGCACGATTTTGCGATTTTTATGACAAATATTGCGATTCGAATTGCGATATTTATTTTTAAGCGACCCAACGGAAGTTTATTGTAAAATGCGGCAATAACTCCGGCTAGGAAGGTCGTATCAACGTACTCCCGTCTCTAGCACCACCGCAGCCCGAGCTACGAGTGAAATAACTAAACTTACATGAAACTTCCGTTGGGTTGCTTTAAAGTCAAGCTTCAGTTTAAGATTCACCCTGTAATAGATGTAGAACATGTGATGGAGCATTACTAACCTGACTCAGATGGTTTGTTTCACCAAACCATCTAGGAGAGCTCTATTGGAAGCCATTTGGAAAGGGCAGGTACTTTCAAAATACTTGGCAGGTGATTGGATCAATCTGTCTATCACCTTCTATCAAGGGCCACTTCTGATTGATTAACAATGGCTGGTACATGTGGAGCACAGCACTTCTGATTGGTGTGGATGACTGACACACAAGAAGAAAAAAATAAAAATTGTTAAAAAAAATCGCAGGCTTTGCGATTTGATAATCGCATCATTTCAAATCGCAATTTCGATTTAAAAACGATTAATCGTTCAGCCCTAGTGCCTGGTTTAATTACTTTATCCAGCCATTTTAAAAGTGCCTACACTTATTTTACTCGTTGTATGCTTTACGTGTGTTTCCTTTATCAAACGTCTGTTTTTAAATCTTTGACTTTTAAATGTCCGATACTGCTGAATTACTGAATATGCAAACCTCACTTAATGTGTCTGTTTCTGTTTCTATTCTCCGCAGTGGCTCACTGTGCATCATCCAGACAGATCATCTCCCACTGGAAGAACTGCACGCGGCACGACTGTCCGGTCTGCCTGCCTCTAAAGAACGCCAGTGACAAGAGGAACCAGCAACGTGAGTATCTCAACCAACTTCAATTTGTTATTATTCATTTACAAATCCATATACAAATGCATGTAGGTAAGTTAAAAGACAATGGAGAACAAATGGCATGCTTGAATAGCACCTTGTAAAAAAATAGAAATACATCTTTGATACCTTGAACACTGCTCTACCAGTCAGTCTCCTCTCAGCGAGGCTCCAGTCAGAGTGCTGTATGAAGTGCTGCCCCCTGCAGGTTGAGTTTTTATGACAAAGCTCTGTACAGGCTCGCTCAAACATTGCGAGGATTCCTCTAGAAAGGCTGGACCTGTAATCTGACACCCGGGGGAGGGGCTCCGTGGCTCTGCTAACTGTGGGGGCAGGGTCTTGGGACAGCAGGCTCTCTGATTGGCTGAAAGGCCCTATGACAGATTTAAATCCCCCACAGAGGCAGCGTGCTCCCTGTCAGCAATCAACACAGCAGGGAGCGGAGCAGGGATTTTAGATGGAGGTCCGCTCAGAAAGATAATCTTTTCTGAGAGATTTTGTTCCTTTACACAGAAAATAAACTTTTTTTAAATATGTAATGTTATTTACTTTGACATTTGAGTAAATATATACTCAAATGTGTCTTATTTCCATTTTATTTAGTTTTATTATGCCTATTTTTTGTGTATTTACATTTAGAAAAACTAAAAACAATTAGTCAAATTGTGTTATACAGTATGTCAGAATCAGAATACCTTTATTCGTCCCACAGCGGGGACATTTCCATTTGTTACAGCAGAAAAGAGACAGCTTAATGTTAATTAACAAGCATGCATACAAAAAAATCTAAATAATTACAAAATACACATCCTGTAACAGTTTTGAAGATGTAGCAACCAGGTATATGCACAGTTATTAACGGCAATGTCCGGCTTTATATTTATTTAATAGTTTCATTTTTGACAAATCACATTTATTTCCTCGTTGAATACATTTGATTATTTAGACTTTCGTTAATTATATATCTTATATCCGGCTTTATATTTAATTCCTCTTTTATTATTAGCTCATTATTGACAAACCACATATATATTTCCTCGTCTCCTCCCTCCAGCCATGCTCAGTTCTCCGGGGGCCAGCCTGCAGAGCGCCATCAGCTCCGTGGGCTCGGGCCAGCCCAGCGCCACCGCCATCAACAGCGCTGCCACACACATCGACCCCAGCTCCATGCAGAGGGCCTACGCTGCACTCGGCCTGCCGTACGGGAACCAGTCCCCGGCCCAGGTCCCGGGGCAGGGGCCCGCTCAGCAGAACGCCCAGGGCCCCCAGCACCAGCAGCTGCGAAGTCTTAACGCACTAGGTATGTGATGGATAGGACATCAGTGCCATCTTAGAGGATGACGTGCACATGTGAACAATACTCACAATCTGTTGCTAAGCCATTTTCTTGCTAACACTAAATGCAATGTGTTTATCAGGCACTAATCAGATGAACCAGATGGCAGGAGGCATGGGGGTCCCCTCTTCAGACCAGGCTGGCATGCACTCCGACTCCTCTCTATCATCATCACTCAACAAGTGAGCATTCTCCTCCTTAATATAAGACAACAAATCTTATTTGATGTAGCTACCATTTTCATTATATATACGCAGTAGGGCTTCAACTACCAAAAGGCCATCACAACTTTAAATAACCAAGCGCCATCTTTAAATGTCATGTTTAGTTGGAATAAAAAAATCTAAATAGCTTAAAATATTTAGTTTACAATAATGTGTGGCAAACAAAAAAGCCGAAAAGTTCTTCATTTGATCAGTGATGACAGAAAAAGAAATAAACAATCTATCATTGAAATAGATGCTGATTATTTTTCTGTTGATCGACTATTTCTGATTCTTTGGCTTCTCTTTTGGTTTAATCATCCATGATTTCATCTGTATTACGGCCTTTAGGTTCTTTTTAAATATAACTTGATATACACGGTAGGATAAAAGTATTTGACTATTTAGTAATCCATAATCCATGTGTGGAATTATCAATAATTTCAATTCTCTAAGTCATTTTTTCTCTGTCTCTGTTTTATAGTCAGCTGATGCCAGATGGGTCAGTAGCGGGAGGCATGGGAAACCTGCCCACTGCCACCCCTCTCTCTTCTTCGGGGGTAAGGAAGTCCTGGCATGAACACGTCACTCAGGACCTGCGCACCCACCTGGTGCACAAACTGTAAGTACAGAAATTATAAATAGATTAAAAAACTCTTTCTGTCATATGCTTTGGGCTTTTGCTGATTTTTGTTGTTGTTGTATTTCTGTTTTTTCTCTCTCTCCAGTGTACAAGCCATATTCCCCACCCCAGACCCCGCAGCACTGAAGGACCGGCGGATGGAGAACCTGGTGGCGTACGCACGCAAGGTTGAGGGTGACATGTACGAGTCAGCTAACAGCAGGGTAACTACTATAACACACACTTGTTTTTAATATCACACTGCTACAACCTGATGGATTTTACGTTAATGTTTTTTAATCACATGGCTTATCCTCTGTCATGAAACACATTTGTTATCGTTTTTTAAATTTCTGTCTGTTTTTTTGTTTCTCCCTCACTAGGATGAGTATTACCACTTCCTGGCGGAGAAAATCTACAAAATACAGAAAGAATTGGAGGAGAAGAGGCGCTCGCGGCTGCAGAAACAGCCTGGCATGGTGGGCTCAGCCGGGCCTCAGCAGCCCAACTCCATGGTCCCAGGACAGGCCGTCCGATCTCCTAGTCAGTAGCCAAACTCTCTACACTCTTTGTTATACAAATATTATTAGGGAAAGACACTTAAGGGTTCAGAATTGGCCTCGTCTAACTATTCTGCAGTTCTCAGTTGATACATGTACCAAGCATTTCTGTAATGGAACCCTTCTTTATCCTGCCTTTTTTTTTTAGATGGACCTGTGCCTATGCCCAACATGCCAAATCAGTTAATGAACCGTATGCAGGTGCCCCAAGGTATGCTCTTTCTTTTTGGATAATATATTGATGTTTAAATGTAATCTAGAAAGTTGGTGAGCTTTCAACAGTAGAGTGCGTTTTTGTTTCCTGTGCACACGATTTGTTCAGTGTCTCTGCCAGCCCAGTACGATATGAAATGACATACTCCCAAGTATGACGAACAATTCTGAATATATTTATGTATCTGTTCCCACAGGAATCAATCAGTTTAACCCAATGGCAATGCAGAATGCGCAGATGTCTCAGGCAACCATGGGAGCACGAGCCCCCTCCCCCATGAACCATCCACAGCAGATGAACATGAGCTCCGTCCCAACGGTTAGATCTTTATTACGTCTCTCTGATTTTTATTCCCCCTCCCGTTTTCTTTTATTCATTTGTTACTCTGTCACTTCCTATCTTTAACTTGCTTGTTTTGGAACCATTTTCAAGTTTTGTTCCCAGTCCATTTTTCTAAATGATTCTTTGGCTCTCTCTGCTGTTCCTTGTTCCTCTTAGCTTCAAACTGTTTGACTGATTGTTCATTTCTTAGTCTGTTGCCACTAAAGCATCAGTATGGAATTTTGCCTAATCCAATTATTAACCAGCTGCCTGGCTTTTAATTAATGATTTGTAATGAAACCAAGGCAGTGCCTGAGGTCAGGCTTACAACTATTTAATGTTCCTCCCAGGTTTTGTATTGCCATGCTGTGTTTTGATTCAGCACATTGTTTACTTGCAAGTCACACCACATGTCATTTATAAGACTGTCGTAGCCGTAGCATGCATGCTGCATTCCATTCACTTTATTTTACTTGGCAGGCAGTGAATACTAGCTGCCATAATGATTTTATCTGTTTCATCTCCCCTTCTCTTTTACAGATGGGTATGTCCCCCTCAAGAATCCCTCAGACTCAAGGAATGATGGGTAGTCATGCTAATAACATGGTTGCTCAGCCGGCCAATCAGGGCCAGTTCCTGCCGCAGGGCCAGTTCACTGCTGCTACAGGAGGAGCAATGAATGTGAATGTAAACCTCGGCCAGCCCATAACACAGTCCGCTGTCAAACAGGTGAGGAGACCAGAGCTGTGCTATATTCTCATTGCATTCTTCTAAGCGGGCCTCATGAGAAACGCCATGTTGGCTGCTGAATGAGTTAGAGCTGCCATTATATTCCACTTAACAATTCGTTGGATGAGAACAAAAATTGTTCAGCCTGTCAAATATAAAACAGGACATTCAAGCCATCCTTTTGGACATTTCTTTTACACTTGTTTTACATTTTACTGATGAAACGATTAATAAAATGGATTAAAAATATTTGTTAATTGGTATTCTAACGTTGAACCTCTTTGATCCGGCAGCCACAGAACTCTAACCTCCCCCTGAACGTGCTGGGACCCCTCGGCTCCAAGCTGCCCTGTGGCCCCGCAGCCCCGCCCTCGCTGGGACCCACCCCCCCACCCAATGCCTCTGGTGGCCTGCAGCCCCATCAGCTGCAGCAGCACCATGCTTCATCACAGGCACAGGCCCCACAGCAGCCCACTACCCCTACCTCCACCGGAGGACCCTCCTCCACCCCAACACACATGCCCAGTAGCCTCCCTGGCCCCCCCTCAGCCATGGGCACACCGGACCCCTCCCAGCCACTCACGCCCCTGCAACCACAGACAGATCCCCCCAGTCAGATGCAGCAGCCCACTTCAGTGCAGGCCCAGCACCCCAGCACACCGGTGAGATACTGGCTCTTACTGTTTTACTCTTAAATTATACCTGATATTTTATGGGCTAATATTACATAAACAAATTGCTTAAAGACAGAGCATGCTTACTAGAGTGCAGACCATGTTGTCTCCGGTGTAGGAGCTTTTCAGACGAGGACAACTCTTCAGATAAACTTC